TGATCTACAGTGTAAGATTAAAAACCTATTCTCAAGATGAAAGGTGAAATTTCGAACCCTCCAGTAAATATGACGCCTCTGTCTCTTAGAAGAACACCCGAGTGGACGACTATTATATTTGGTGGCGCAGCTTTATAATCTAATATACAGGGTGTTTGGAAGATGAGTGCAAAGCTTTAAAGAAAAGCTAACAGAGATCATTTAGAAACATTTGAGCCATACTTGTCATAGACGAAGTCTGACCATTTTATTTTTAATATTTTTTAACGGTTTTAAAGAAAAAAACCTAAATGTACACAGTTAGTTCCAAGTATTGGCTAATTGACATAATAAATGAATTCTTTTTGATTTTATTTGATAAAACAAGTGTCAAAGCAAACTAAGAAAAAATGTTTAAAACATCTCTATCAGCAAACATTTTTTTTACAGATATTTAAAATTATCGTAAATTTTTAAAATGGAAAAAAGCTGTTTATCTTAGGCTTACAAAAAAAAACACGGAGGGTGTTTTGTTTGTTCAAAGCTTTTTAAAAACATGTTCAGTTATTGTACTTTCTTTTGAGGTATCGTTTATGCAAATGGTTTAAAAATTGTTGAAACTAAGACCAGAAATCCTAATTGTGGAAGATTTTTTTAAATTTAAGATGAAATAATTACAACAAAATTTCAACTGAAATCACTTATTTTTCGTGTTCAAAATGTTCGCCGCAATTTCTAACACACGCACGGGCCCGTGTTCTTACTTGTTGTCGTTATTTTCAACATCATCTCCTGTTTCATCGTTTGAAATGCTGCGTTTATTCTTTCTATTAATTGTTCTTTTGTGTTTATCTCCACATGAGTTTGAACACTAGTTTAAAGGACTAGTTTTAAGTCGGGCCAAGGAACTATCCTTAGCCCGACCTCACACGAAAAAATCCATTGGTGTAAGGTCGGGTGACCGAGCAGGCCAAGAGATTGGGCCATCTCTGCCGATCCAGCTATCAGGGAAGCAATTATTTAAATGGTCTCTTATATTTAAGTCCACTGGGCTGGACACCCGTCCTGCTGAAAGATGACCTCTCGATCACTTTCCAATATTGGAGCACAGGAATCTTCAACAAGAACTGGCAAATGGTTTTGGAGAAATTCTAAGTAATTGTCGCCGTTCAAATTGTCTGGCAGGAAGTGGGGCCCAATCAACGTTCTGCCAATCCACACATTAACGGAAAATTTTCTTTTCATCCCACCACCTCGGAAAGTGTAATTTTGCGCTTCGAAATCTGGCTGGAAAATTCTATTTTATTCGCTTGAGCGGCAAAGTAGATTTGAATTTAGAACATCACATATAATGAGTACTCAATATAATTGTAAATTCAAAACGTCATTAAACCTATTTTAATGTAACCTCTATGGTGCCAAATTTATGATTAGAACTTTTTAAATTGTGAAAAAATTTAAATTTGGAACCTTCTTGGTTTCTTTGTTTTATTTGCGTGCTTCGCGCCATTCTAGTTTTTCACGTTTTATTGCTTCAATATTTTGTCATTATAAATTGTTTTCTTTTTCATTTTGTCATTTCCTCGCTGAGGTGGGATGAAAAGTTACGTATTGCACTCGAGTGGAAAGATTTTTCACCTTGTGCTCGTTTGTTTCCCTCGCTGACGCTCAGGATTCTAATTTAGAATCACTCGCTGCGCTCGTGATTCAACTTTAGAATCCTTCGCTTGCTCGGTCATCCAAATCGAGCACGCGGTTAAAAAGGAACTTTCCACTCTTGTATAATAAATAACTATTAAATTGTCACCTGCTTTTTCCAATGCGGATTATTATCTTTATCGGCCCATTGATGCAGGTTATGAAAGTTTGTAATGCCCTTTCTAGCGAATTTACTTTCATCTGTCCATAGGATTGATTTTAAAAACCACGCATCTTCAATGTCTCCGTTGAGAAGAATTCGGCAAAATTGAATCCTTAGCTGGGGATCTGCTTCTTCCAGACCTTGCACGCCTGTGTCCTGGAACGGATACTTGGTATTTTGGTGCATTGTATTCCACACCTTCCAATGTGAAATGTATTCTCATAACACTTTATATTTATAATAGCTTTTTTATTCTCAATTTGGTATGTAGATCCTATTTTCAATGATTAGCTATCTACATAAATTATTCAAGATTCATTTTTGAAGATTCCGGTGCTCCAATATTCGATCAGTTGATCGAGAGGTCATCTTTCAGCAGGACGGGTGTCCAGCCCATTGGACTTTAAATGTAAGAGAGCATTTAAATAATTACTTCCCTGATAGCTGGATCGGCTTATATGGCCCAATCTCTTTGCCTGCTTGGTCACCTGACCTTACTCCAATGGACTTTTTCGTGTGTGGGGTCAGGCCAAGGAACTCGTTTACACTCATGTGGAGATAAACACAAAAGAAAAATTAATAGAAAGAATAAATGCAGCATTTCAAACTATGAAACAGGAGATGATATTGAAAATAACGACAACAGAAGTAAGAAAACGGGCTCTTGCGTATGTTAGAAATCGCAGCGAACATTTTTAACACGAAAAATAAGTGATTTCAGTTTAAATTTTGTTTTAATTTATTCATCTTAAATTTAAAAAAATCTTCCTCAATTAGGATTTCTGGTCTTAGTTTCAATAATTTCTAAGCAATTTGCATAAACGATACCTCAAAAGAAAGTACAATAACTGAACATATTTTTAGGTATCACACAATAGAGCGAGTTCAAAAAATCTTCTTTTAAACTTTAAATTAAACTTAAAAATAGTACAATCTTACTTTTTTTGCAACCGTTTTCGATTAGTTAACAATCTAATTAACTTTAGGAATGATAAAATGCCAAAAAAAAACTTCGATACCAAATCGCTAATTTTAAGATTTTTCCACCTCACTGTCTTTGAAGTCCGATTTTAGCAAAAGTAGCCCTTTAAGTACTACTTTTTTTAAATGATTATGAAAGCTGAGAGTCTGGCGCAGTTTTTAAACTTACTTAGGAGCCATGAAACTACCTATTAAGATTTTAAATTTAAAGTTGAAATCTTAAGACATAATTCACTGACCATAATTTTTTCACTTTGCACCATCATTTTTTAACTTCCATCATAGTTACAAAGACAAAGGTATTAGTCATTTAAGTACAATTCATGTAAATTGATTTGCAAAAAAAATATCTCGGAAAAGACATCCAATTTTTTTTATTAAATTTTTAAGTTGTTTAGGTCATTAATTCTCAAAATTTTAGTAAAAAAACCATAACTCGCAAACTATAAAAAATCGCGGAACATACATGGGGGTGTTTCGGATTCCCCAAGGGGTGTTCTATCTCGGGACTACCGCTTGACACTACTTTTTGGGACACCCTGTATATCCAGTGCTACACCAACAGAAATCTCACTTGTAATTAGCTCCATTTGAATAACCCTTAATGTAATAATCACTTTCAATTAATAATTTTCTGGCCTTGATCAGAATCGTTTTTTGTAGTCAATACTCGTGAATTTTTGCAAATAACTAAAGAATAAATGCAGCATTTCAAACTATGAAACAGGAGATGATATTGAAAATAACGACAACAGAAGTAAGAAAACGGGCCCTTGCGTATGTTAGAAATCGCAGCGAACATTTTTAACACGAAAAATAAGTGATTTCAGTTTAAATTTTGTTTTAATTTATTCATCTTAAATTTAAAAAAATCTTCCTCAACTAGGATTTCTGGTCTTAGTTTCAATAATTTCTAAGCAATTTGCATAAACGATACCTCAAAAGAAAGTACAATAACTGAACATATTTTTAAAAAGCTTTGAACAAACAAAACACCCTCCGTGTTTTTTTTGTAAGCCTAAGATAAACAGCTTTTTACCATTTTCAAAATTTACGATAATTTTAAATATCTGTAAAAAAATTGTTTGCTGATACAGATGTTTTAAACTCTTTTTCTTAGTTTGCTTTCATATTTGTTTTATGAAATAAATTCAAAAAGAATTCATTTATTATGTCAGTTAGCCATTATTTGAACTAACTGTGTACATTTAGGATTTTTTCTTTAAAATCGTTAAAAATTATTAAAAATAAAATGGTCAGACTTCGTCTATGACAAGTATGGCTCAAACGTTTCTAAATTATCTCTGTTAGCTTTCCTTTAAAGCTTTGCACTCATCTTCCAAACACCCTGTATAAAATTCTCGTGTCGCGGTGTTTGTGGTTAAACTCCTCCGAAACGGCTTTCCCGATTCTCATGAAATTTTGTGTGCATATTGTGTAGGTCTGAGAATCGGACAACATCTATTTTTCATCCCCCTAAATCGATACCGAAGCAAAACTATAGTTCTTAGAATTTTTGTCTGTATGTATGTCCGGGATAAACTCAAAAAGTACTGCATGGATTTACTTCAAATTTGGCACGAATATTATTAAGAAGTCGGGTCAACATATAGACTACATATTATCACGTTATCACCTACGGGGAACGAGCAGTGAACCTTTATTTCTAACGCCACGCGGTACGAAGTCGCGGGTGGCCGTTAGTTGGAAATAAGGGATACGCCACTAAACATTAATTATTACTATTTTTAGGCTGTGGATAGTAGCTATTTCGTAAATGACAATACTATTACTAATACTTAAAAATATATTGTTTTTTATACATTTTTGTTGTTGTTTCTAATTAGTTGTCCATTATTGTTCATACCTTAAAAATTATTTAAATGTTTGTCCATAATGTAATATTGTAACTGCACTTGTGTAATACGGTTAATATTGTTTTTCTAATAAATGATAAATCGTTGAACATATTGTTGCCCTATCTATAGTTTAATTTCAAAATAAAAACGATTGCGGCGAAGTTTCTTACATAATGTCAAGGATAGTTGGTAGAGTTTCTAATTATGCAACCACCACTGATATATTAAAGCAGAATCAAAACTAAGCACAGGGTTCTTTTTTAAAGCAATTCTATTATATTTCAGCATTAATAATATCAAAAATATATATAAAAATGAACCTCATTTGAAGTCATATTATTTTTTAATTTGTCCAAATCCATTTTCAATGATAGATTTTTAAATGTTAGCTCTTCACTCTGTTTATGCAATAAAGGTATGTCATTATGAACTTTTTCCATTACATTTTCAAGTGCATAATCTTCAAAACTTTCAATATCTGTTATGCCTATTATCTCTAATATGTTAAGGACATTCTTAATCTCTGTATCTACTCTCTCACAGGCTCTCTGCACCTGAAAAACAACAATGGTAACTTGTTATTACTATAACATTATATATTATATCACATCACATATTTTACATTATTGTGCAGCACAAAATCAGTAATTCTATGTGAAAGTTTGGTTGATTATTATTCATTATAAAAAAAAAACGAGTAAGCCTTACAGTAGTCGCGTATGATGTGTAACATTTGAAAACCTCACCTTATATTAGTAAAAAAAAAGAAATAAAACCTACTACAAAAGGAATAAGCCATTTGAACATTATGTTCTAAAATCAAATCAAATAGCGCGAGCTTTTGCGACTTCCTGTTACACACTTCCATCCCATTTCACGAAATCACTCCCACAAATGGCAGGAAAGTGAGAGGAAAGATGTTACACATCAAAAACTGGCTAATTGTGAATTCACTTGCATGCAGTGCTTGCATCGAAAAATTAAAAATATTATATAAAACCCTGATTAATTTTTATTATTTTTTGTTTGAATAGCAACAGCAGTTCTGGAGAAAGTCTAGAGTAAAAAAAATACCTTTCAACAAACTATGACTTATACCTGAGAAAATTCAACATCCATAACATTTTTTTCACTTTCCAATGCATCTAATTTTTGCCGTAAAATAATTGAGAGTTCTTTTAGTTCCTTTAAGTTTTTATTTATTTCATGTTCATTTACATTAAACTCCTTGTCATTTTCAGATGATATTGTAATAGAATTCTCAACACCATTGGTGCTTTTTATTGACCTTAACTTTTCAATCAATGCTTGTTCATTTTCAGTATTACAACGAGTAGAACTATCTAGAAAATAAAATAAAGATTGAAACAAGAATTGAATGTTAATAATTCAAGTCAAGCTTAAATATAGTATACCTATTCTAAAAACAAAGTCTCCAATTTGTTTTTTATTATTTGGGCTGCAGCATGATGGTATCCATATGGAATTCAACTTTTCACCTATTTTATTACTCACTTCTTGTAATAATAATGATTTGTTATCATTTGCTCTAGATCTGACAAGATTTTGCTTGCTCTCATTAGGTAAATTCTCTATTAGAAACATAAACACTTGTCTCAGATCTGCTTCATTGTAATAGAGAAAAGTTTGATAACCAACATCATTTTTGTATCCTAAATCCTATGGGTAAAAATATGGTCACATAAGCTTAAATGCACAGTTGTGCACACAACCCCAATCACACCAAATGCCGACAATTACACTAAGTATTGACATTATTTTCAGTAATGCTACTTATAATGCCGCAGCTGCAGGTATGCTATTTGCCATTAATTGTGTAACACAGATGGGAATAAACATTAGTTGTGGTAAATTATCATTTTAACCTATAAACGGGATCACAAACAGAGGTAAAAGTTAACTATGGGCTCCTAATCAATATCTACTATTTAATTTACAAGTTACAGCAAATCAAAGTTTTAAAGCTTTTGAACAATTTCGCTCTTTTGATAAATGTCTAATGTGTCTGTATACAAAATATGGATAACACCAACCACTATCAGTTCAACCTAGTACGTACCTTGCAAATCGAAGCTATTTGAGATGCAAGTTCTATTCTCTGCGAAATTGATGACGGCATTTTAGTTGGCAGTTTTAGCGAATTATTGATTTTACACAGACATTTAGTAGCTAATTCAATAATTGCATCTACAGGTAATTCACATACACTTTTTGTATCTGGATTGATGTTTCTGAAAATTAAAAAAAATATACCTACAGTTAGAGCTGTCTAAGAGATATACTTAGAAAATACTAGCTCATATTGATACCATTTAAAAAGTAAAATCTTACACATTCAACTGACGGAGAAAATGGAGAATTATTGAGTCAACTTCCTCCATTTTCTTCAAGATTGTTTTGCTTATTAACAATGATTAAAGAAATAGAGCTTATTATTATTCACTCACAGACTAGTTAGAGATAGTATTCTTCTTCTTCTTCTTTTATTATGGCATGACGGCTAATGTTGCCAATTGCCATATACAAGTTTCATCTGTTCTAATTGGGTAGCAAATCGATTAAACTTTATCGATTAAAGGAGCGGAATATGAATAGTTGGTACTTGGATATGTGGTAGTTGCAGATGGGAAAAAATAAGGAAACGATATGAACAAGAAAAAAAAGGGAGATTTGCGATAAACAAGAAAAAGGAACAACAGTTGAGTAGGTAGGGAAATATAAGTAAATAATGGAACTATAGTAAAAATATAAATATATAGATAAACTAAATTTTTATATCATTTTTTCTGATAAACTTGGATAAACATATGTATATATCAGGATTAATATTATATAGAAGGGAGGGAATGGACGTAGGAAATAGTTATTTATTATACAAGAGTGGAAAGTTCCTTTTTAACCGCGTGCTCGATTTGGATGACCGAGCAAGCGAAGGATTCTAAAGTTGAATCACGAGCGCAGCGAGTGATTCTAAATTAGAATCCTGAGCGTCAGCGAGGGAAACAAACGAGCACAAGGTGAAAAATCTTTCCACTCGAGTGCAATACGTAACTTTTCATCCCACCTCAGCGAGGAAATGACAAAATGAAAAAGAAAACAATTTATAATGACAAAATATTTTTATTTCAATTAAAACACATTAAGATAATCTATAAATTGAAGAAAATAATAAGAAGTAGAAAATAATTAAGAAATATTAAATGTAACGTTGCTACAGTTACTTATGTTAAGTTTAATATTTTTGTTAGGTAATGTTATGTTGGTGTTTGTGAATTGTGCGCTGTTTTGTGGTAAACTACTCGTATCAGTAATTTTAAATAGTTGTGCCGATTCATTGGATTCTATTGGCGTAAATGTTGGCGAGAGAGGGCTATTGTTTCCAATCTTATGGGGGCTCATTTTAGATGTAGAAGGGCGAGACCAAGAATCTGACAGAGGTTCTTTCAGCGTTATGGCCTCCACGATACTATTACAAATTTTTGATTTACTTTGGATTGAATCCTCTATGTATCCCTCTACAACCGAATTAGACTTCCAGCCTCCATGGCGCTTAAGCGATAGAAGATCAGCCCCTGATTCGGCCAAAAGTGTGGCTGAGGTTCTTCTAAAACAGTGACCGGTGTATAACGGGGGTTCTAAAAGTCCGAGAAAAGTTGCTATTTCTCGTGGAATACTGCCAATTTTATTCTGACCCATAGGTTGTCGGATACACTTTCCGTTGCGATATTGTAGAAAAAATCGTTCAATTGGGGTGTTAGAAGGACGTAAAGCTTGATATTTCTGAACAATGTTTACATATTCCTTGCGAATAACGAAGTTGCGGTCTTTTTTTGTCTTGGTATTTAGTACATTAATTAATAGCAATTCATCAGAATTATGAGAATATTTTGATACGTTATTGACATTAAGTAGTGTAAGTTCATTTGTTCGACATGCTCCGGTTATACCAATAATAAGAACAACCTGTAACAAAAGAAGTATTTATAATCGTAAATAAATTAATCAAATTAAAAATATTGTAAGTACTATGTACAATTTTATCAACAACAAAAAATTACACGTATTGACTTACTTTTGCCGCTAAATATACGGAATCAGGTGCTTCATTAATAAACTTTGCAATTTCAGATGCTGTGAAAACCTTCGATTTTTTTGGTTTATAACCAGATGAGGCTCTTTTTAAAAATGCCACTAATTTATGATAGGTGTCGATATGAACGTCTTTCTTCATCTTAATTGTTAATTTTAGCATTGAATACGTACTCCATAGCGTGCTTGCTTTCTTGGTCTCAGATAATTCTATAAAATATGCCAGCAAAACGTTTTCGGAGAAAGTTTTTGCTCCTTTAGCTAGTCGCCACATGTTAAATATATCGTACTGTTTCAAATACTTCTCTCGTGATTGCTGAGGGAGAAGGCTCATTTGCGCATTATTAACTGTTTCAGTTAACTCAGTTGGCGTTAGATAAACTTCATCGTCGCTAATGTCACTCATTTTAGTTGATTTTTTTGTACAGTTTTTAGGTTATGTTAATTATATTAAGCAATAAAACGTGAAAAACTAGAATGGCGCGAAGCACGCAAATAAAACAAAGAAACCAAGAAGGTTCCAAATTTAAATTTTTTCACAATTTAAAAAGTTCTAATCATAAATTTGGCACCATAGAGGTTACATTAAATAGGTTTAATGACGTTTTGAATTTACAATTATATTGAGTACTCATTATATGTGATGTTCTAAATTCAAATCTACTTTGCCGCTCAAGCGAATAAAATAGAATTTTCCAGCCAGATTTCGAAGCGCAAAATTACACTTTCCGAGGTGGTGGGATGAAAAGGAATATTTGCTGTCTTCAATGAATCTAAAAAGGCGGTTCTGTCATATCTGGGGCAAGAAAAGAAAATATGGTTAACGTCAGCATCAACCTCGCCACATTCACATGTGGACGTATCTATTATACCATATTTTGCCAAACGATCAGGAGTACAAACATGTCCGAGGCGCATTCGGATTAAAATTGTAGTAACTGATTTACTAAACCTTAATTTGGAAAACCAAGGTTTAGTAAGTAAAGTTGGTTGTAATGAGCGATAGTACTTAGCTTTTGATTTATTACTCTCCACCCATAACCTGGACCATGAATCTTGTAATGTTGTTTGTGACATATTAATTAAATAATGAGAATAGTTCTTATAATAATAAAGATCACCACATTTACACAGACGCAGTAGCGTCTCGAGCGAGATAATCGGCATATTCGTTACCAATTATGCCACTATGGCTAGGTACCCAAGCAAAAGAAACCGAATATCCTTTTAATATGCTTAAATAAAGCAACTCCCTTGTCTTTAAGATTAATGGATAATTTTTTGATCTAAAAGGGAATTTTGCTAGCGCATATAATGAGCTTAAAGAGTCAGTAAAAATAATTGTTTGCTTTAGTTTAGCCAGTCTTATATATTCTACTGCTTTGTAGATACCGAGGCACTCGGCGGTAAAAACTGAAGTCTGTGGAGGCAGACGTATTTTTTGTTGAATCTTGTAGTTGCTGTGGAAGATTCCAACTCCAACGTCCTGCTGTGCGGTTTTAGACGCATCAGTGAATATTTTGTGCCACTGGTACCAGGTCTCACTTACTATAGCATTAAAGTAGACATTTGCATTAGCCTTATCGGCGATGTGGAGGTTATAAATTATATTAGGGTTAATAGATAAAGCATCATAATCTGTGTTAAAGATAGGAGGAATATGGAAGTGATGAACAGGAATGTCTTCAGCTTTATATCTATTAAAGGTTTTAACAAGTGGTGGAAGTCTCTTATGAGACCAATAACTAGTTGTAATTACCTTTTCTGACAAAATTCTTAATTTTTCAATAACGGGGTTGTTCGTCAATTGAACGGCCTTATAAAAATATCTGTCGGCTAAATACTGTCTACGAAGGTGTAATGGAGGATCATTGCATTCAACCTGTAACGCGCATATAGGACTAGACCTCATGGCACCAGAAATTATTCGTCTTTTGACTGAATACCATCCAATTTCCGAAAGGCGCTAGCATTGCCTGGCTCCAACAAAAAAGTTCCATAATCTAATATGCTTCTTACAAGGGCAATGTAAAGCAATCTTAATGAAGTTGGATGGCTACCCCACCAAACGCCAGCAAGACATCTTAAAATATTAATATTACGTTCGCATTTTGCTGATATATATTCACAATGAGAATTCCCGGTGAGCTTAGTATCAAGAATGATACCTAAATACATTACTTCTTGCCTCTGCAACAGACTGGTTTCACCAAAGTATACATTTAAGTCAGGCGGGTTTCTCATCCTGGAAAAAAGCACTAAAATTGTCTTAGAAACAGACAACTCTAGGCCGTTTCTAACTAACCATTTTTTTAATAACGATAGTGAATAATTTATATCATTGTTTATGTTATTTACACACTTATTATTACAGTATAAAACTACATCATCGGCATATTGAATAACCGAGCAAGAGCTTTCTAAGGAATCTTCAAGATTATGGGTATATACATTGTTAAGCAACGGACTGATGACTGACCCTTGTGGTAAGCCTTTTATCGCTGTTCTTTCAATTGTTGTATCATCTATATGAAGTATTAAATATCTCTCAGAAAACAGATTTATAATAAAATTGGTAAGCATTAAAGGGATTTGTAAATCAATTAATTTATCACGTAAAATCGATAAATTAACATTATCGTACGCTGACTTTATGTCGAGAAAGACCGCCCCAACTGATTCATTATCGGAAAACGCTATCCGGATATCTGACGTTAAAATTCCAATACAGTCCGATGTGCTCCTGTTCCTCCTAAAACCGTATTGGCTATTGGACAAAAGGTTCTTGCTCTCAACTAACCACTCTAATCTATTTTTCAATAGGTGTTCAGCTATTTTAACTAGTACTGTAGAAAGAATAATCGGACGGTAAGATGATACATCAGCAGGCGATTTATTCGGTTTTAGTAATGGCAATACTGTTTGTTGTCTCCATGATGGAGGAATATTACCTGTCAACATGACAGAATTTATAATTTGTAAATAATAATTTAGCGTATTATCACCAATGATTAAAGAAATAGAGAGGATATGCCCTAAGTTTTCTCTACCTTTGTGAATTAGCTCCGCCCTGAAGCCGTTTTTTTGACAAGACGCCATTTTAGGATGTCTTTGTTTATGGTAGTTCATCTGTCATCTGTCTGTTTCCCGGTGTTTATTTTCAGTTTTTATGGTGAATTATATCTTTAATTGTCCTCTTGGTGATATCGCGAAGACTTAACAGTAAAACTATAATGGCAAAGTGTTGCATTAGAGGGTGCAATTCAAGTTCTCGTAAAAACAACGAAGGATT